TGTCTGGCTACTCTTTGAACAATTTTTTACTTAAAATCTATTTTGTCTGATATTAGCATAGGCTCCCCTGCTCTCTTTTGGATACAGTTTTCATGCAGCATTTTTTTCTATCCATTTATTTTAATTTTCTTTGTTTCTTTGAATCTAAAGTGAGTCTCTTCTAAACAGCGTATTGATGAATCCTGTCTTCTTTTGTTTTTGAGTCATTCTGATATTTTTGCCTTTTCTGTGTGCTTGTTTTGTTTGTTTGTGTTGGGGATTGAACCTCAACATGTTAGGCAAGCACTCTACCACATTCTAACACTGAGCTACATACACAGTCATACATTTTGAGATGAGATCTTACTAAGTTGCCCAGTCTGTCCTGGAATTCATGATCCTTCTGCTTTAGCCTTCTGAGTAGTCGGTATTATAGACATGTACCACTAGAACTAGTTAATCTCTGCCTTTAAATTTTTTTTTTAGTTGTAGATGGACATAATACCTTTATTTTTATTTATTTATTTTTATATGGTGCTGAGGATCAAACCTAGTGCCTCACATTTGTGAGACAAGCGCTCTGCCACTGAGCCACAACCCCAGCCCAAAACTCTGCCATTTAATAGGAGAGTTTAATCCATTTACATTTAAAGCAATTATTGATAAGGATTCATTTGACCATTTTGTTGTTTTCTGTGAAACTCATATCCTTTTTTTCCCTAAATTCAACCATTATGTCCTTCTTTTGTGTTTGTTTTTTATAGTGTACATTTTTATTCTCTTATTTCCTTTTTGTATACTTTATAATTGATTTCTTAGCTGTTAATTATAGAATTACAATTGACAAATTAAAATAACCTAGTTTAAATTACTATCAATATAGCTTAAATACTATTCAAAAACTGTCCTCCTGTGGCACATACTTGTCATCCCAGCAACACAGGAGGCTGAGGCAGGAAGATCGCAAGTTTGAGGTCAGTCTGGACAACTTAACAAGACCCTGCCTCAAAATGAAAAATAAAAAGAGCTGAGGATACAGCTCAGTGTGGAATAACCCTATGCTCAATTCCCACTAGTGAAAAAAACATCCAATTCTCCTCCTATATAGCTCTATCCTTCATCCTTTATATTGTTATTGTCATAAATTACTTCTTTATACACTGTGTGCCCAAGAACATAGACATAATTATTTTATATGTGGAAGAAAAGAGATATTACAAACACAAAAATACAAAGATTCTGGCTTTTATATTTACCTATAGTTGTCTTTTTTTTTTTTTTTTCCTGCTACTAGGGATGAAGCCAGTAGTGCTCACTGAGATACAGTTCCTTTTATTTTTTTATTTTGAGACAGGATCTGGCTATGTTGCCCAGGCTGCCTTGATCCTGTGATCTTCCTGTCTCAGTCTCCCAAATTGCTGGGATTATAGGTGTGTACCACCAAGGCCAACTACCTATGTGTTAGTTTTCATTCAACACCCACCACCTTCCCACCCCCCACCCCGTCTTTGAGTTACTTATCTAGTGTGCTTTCACATCACTTGAAGGACTTCCTTTAACATTCCCTGGAGGGCATATTTACAAGTGACACACTCCCTTGTTAATATCTTAATTCCTCTTTCCTTCTTGAAGGACAGTTTTTCCAAATACAGAATTCATGATTGACAGTTTCTTTCTGCACATTCAAGTATGTCACCTCATTGTCACTTTTCTGGTGAGAAATTGGCCACTAATCTTATTGAGGATCCTTTGTACATTAGAAGTTGCTTCTTCTTCTTCTTCTTTTTTTTTTTTTCTGCTTTCAAGATTCTCTGTTTAGCTTTGACTTTTGATGATTTAATTATAATGTATCTCAGTGTGGACCTCTTGGCTTTACCCTAGTTGGAGTTAAGTTTATCGGCTGTGTGAGTTCATATTTTGTTTGTTTGTTTGTTTGTTTGTTTTCTAAATCAAATTTGGGGAGTTTTCAAATATGATTTCTTCAGATTGTCAATCTCTCTCCTTTCCTGCTAAGATGCCAATTATGATAATATTGGTATGATTTATGATGTCTAGCAAGTCTCTCAGGCTCTGCTAATTTTTCTTCATTCTTTTTCCTTTCTAGTCCTAAGATTGGGTAATTTCATTTCATTTGACCTATCTCCAAGTTCACTGCTTCTTTTATAGGTCTGCTATTGAATATATCTTGTTCATTTTTCATTTTCTTACATTAATCCTGTTTTTTATTTTATGTATTTCCTGATATTTTTATATCTTGGAGCCTTGGTGATCTGGGACAGGCAATTCCTAGAAATGATAAATGACCCATCTGCAAGTGTGCCTTTCATATGCGAAACAAATGGTCCAAAACCCATACTCCAAACCAATTCCTTTATTGAACTTTTACATTCTAAGGCACAATACCCCTGTAATAGTCACACCCTGGCTAGATAACAGACAATTTGGGACAGTCCCTAATCCCATGAGCATGCTGAAATTATTCAAATTTGCCAGTCTTAAACCTGTTTATCCCAGTTTGCCTAGTCCTTCCCATGGAAACTACAGTAGATGCTGGGTGTGGTGATGCATAGCTGTAATCCCAGTGACTCAGGAGGCTGAGGCAAGAGGATCACAAGTTTGAGACCAGCCTCAGCAACTTGGTGACGCCATAGGAATTAGTGAGACCCTATTTCAAAATAAAAAGGGGTTGGGGCTGTAGCCCAGTGGTTAAGCACCCCTGGGTTCAATCCCTAATACCAAGAAAGAAAAGAAAGAAAGAAAGAAAGAAAGAAAGAAAGAAAGAAAGAAAGAAAGAAAGAAAGGAAGGAAGGAAGGAAGGAAGGAAGGATATAATAAAGAAAGAACATAATAAAGGCTTTTGCCCACATTGTCTTCCTCTTTCCTCTGCCTCATGAATGACCTGAGAACTTTCCCTATGTGCTCCTGCATGGTATTTGGTGCCTCCTGTTAAGGATCACTTGATCCCAGGAGTTTGATACCCTCCTGGGCAACATACTTATTCCTTCTTCTTCTTTTATTTTTTAGCAGTGCTGAGGATTGAACCCAAGGTCTCAGACACGTTAGGCAATCACTCTACCACTGTTACAGTCCCAGCCCTAGTTCTTCCTTCCTGACAGTCATTTCCATGTCTGTATATCTTAACTGATTAAAACAAATCTTATATAAATCTTATATGTATTTTGAATATCAGTCATTGTATTTTTTAGTTCCAAAATTTCTATTTGGTTCCTTTTTATAACTTTTTTCTACTGATATTCTATATTTGTTTTGACACTCTTCTCTTGGTTTCCCTGAGTTCTTTGTCTATGATTTCCTTTAGTTCTTTGAGCACATTATAAACAGTTGACTTGAAGTCTTTGTCTAGTAAGCCCCAAATCTCTGCTTCCTCAGGTACAGTTTCTACTTATTTTTTTTTCTTGTATTCTTCCTGTATACTTCCTATTTTCCTCCCCAAACAGAATATTTTGAATATTATGAGGTGGGGAGAAAGAGAGAGAGGGAGGACGGGAGGGTTGAGGAGAGGGACATGTGGGAGAGGAAAGGACAAGGATTTTATCTATCTATATTAGGGATTGAACCCAGGGATGCTTAACCACCAAATCATATCCCCAGACCTTTTTAATATTTTATTAGAGACAGACTCTCACTAAGTTGCTTAGGGCCTCACTAAGTTGCTGAGGCTGGGTTTGAACTTGTGATCCTCTCGTCTCAGCCTCCCTAGGCACTAGGATTACAGAGCGCACCACCATACCTGGCTATTTTCTAAAATTTTTGAGACAGGGTCTTGCTGAGTTGCTTAGGGCCTTGCTAAGTGGCTGTGGCTTTCTTTGAACTCATAATCCTCTTGCCTCAGCCTCCCAAGGTATGTGCCACCATACCTGGCTACATCCCATCTTTTTTCACCAGGTTTTTTTGGCAGTTCTAGGGAGAAATAGGCTATAAAAAGCCTCCACTCTGATTTAAAATTTTTTTTTTAATTGTAGATAGACACATTCTTTTTTAATTTTATTATTTTTATACGGTGCTTAGGATCGAACTCAGTGCCTCACACATGCTAGGGAAGTGCTCTAGCCCAGAGCCACAATCCCAGCCCCTCTACTCCGACTTTTGCACTATTTTCAACCACATGAAATCGGGTGTCTCTACGACACAAAGTTAGCTCTTGAGGCTAACTATTATGCTTGCCATTGGATCCCCCAGCACACAGGGACCCTCCAAAATGATTTGTTAAATAAATGGAGCTTTTCAGTAGCCATTTAAAAATATTAACCTTTAACCTTGACCTTGGCCTCAGTGTATGGCCACATTCTTAGCCCTTTTTAATTTTTTATGTAAAGACAGGGTCTCCCTGAATTGCTTAGGGCCTCACTAAGTTGCTGAGGCTGGCTTTGAACTTGTGATCCTCCTGCCTCAGCCTCCCAAGCTGCTGGGGTTACAGGTGTGTGCCACCATACCTGAGGAGAAAGCAAAATTCTAACTCCTACCTGCCTCCTGAGCTTAATGACAGGCCCTGTGTGCCCTTCCAGACCCTCTTTCTCCTTCTCCATAACATATGCATATTATTCTTTTTTCCCATTTAATATGTATATTTTGGAGATCTATCCACATTAGCAAAGATTTATATCTAGTTTATTGATCTCCTTTATAATACACAAAGAATACAGAGTGAAGTAAAAAAGGGAAGAGGCTTTTAACAAAAAGACCTGACCTCATTTTTACATTTCACAATACAAATAAAACTGCACTTTTCCTTTCTAATTTATCTCCTCCCCAAACTATTCTCTGTCTGATAAGAATGGGGAGCAAGTCTTTGTTGTCATGCTGTTAGAAAACTTCCCGAATCATAACCCTGTGAACTCCTAGTGAAGGAGAATACGTAATATAAAGAGGGTCCCCTTGCAGGGCACGGTGACCCACACTTGTAATCCCAGAGACTCTGGAGGCTGAAGCAGTTAGATCACAAGTTCTAGGACAGCCTGGGCAATTTCATAAGACCCACCCTTAAAACAGAGAAGGACTGGGTGCACACTTCAGCAGCATATAAACAAAAATTGGAACAATGCAGAAAAGATTATCATGGCCCCTAGGCAAGAATGACAGGCAAATCCATGAAAGATTCCATATTAAAAATAAAGAAAAAAAGGAGGTTGGACTAGGATGTATCTCAGTGGTAAAGTTTCCCTGGATTTATTTATAAATAAATAAATAAGCTCCCCTCCCTCCATTGCTGTCTGATCATCATTCCTGGCTAAGTGGGCACCATCATGGGACAAGCAGGAGGTCTCATCATTTGGAGGACAGGCATCAGTGGCATGTGACTCCCATGCATGCCTTCATTCCAGGAGCAGGTTCCATAAGCATCATCCCAGGAAGAGGAGGGCCCATCACTTACATCATGACAGGGTCTTCCATGTGGGGTGCTGGCATCTTACCAGGCTGAGGAGGACTGGTGGGAGGTGGGATCTGCCAAAGGAATTGCAGAGAAGGGAGTAGGAGAACGCTTCCTTGTTGTTGAATACAGCCGTTGCTGCATCAATCAGGCTCTGAGCCTACTCTTCCACCCATTTCTTTTTCTTTTCCGTACTGGGGATTGAACTCAGGGGCACTAAACCACTAAACTCAATTCCCAGCCCTTTTTATTTTTAATTTTGGAACATGGTCTTTCTAAGTTGCTTAGGACCTTGGTAAGTTTCTGAGGCTGGCTTTGAACTTGTGATCCTCCTACCTCAGTCTCTCCAACCACTGGGATTACAGGTCTGCACCACCATGCCCAGCTTCCTCCATTCATTTCTGATAGGAGTCTTTCATATTCTCTTGTGTTTCCTATCATTGTCATGTTTCTTTCTCACAGAAGAGCATCATGGGTGAGGGATATATCACAGTAGTTGCAATAAAACTTGGGCCTGTTCTCTACAGACCATTGGCCACTTGGTTCTGTGCTTCCTGGAAAATCTGAACCTAGATTTTATATTAAACATATTACCTGTACACAAATATTATAGAAACTAAGAGCATAGACTCTAGACTTAGACGACCTTTGTTTAAATCCTTGCTCTGCCACTTATTAGACAGGAATTTTGCAAATTCCTCTCATTTTCTACATCTAAAAAGGGGTAGGAGGTGGGAATAATAACAGGAGGTTTTTCATGAGGTTTTCATTTGAGATGTAAATTAAATAATTCCTGAAAGGCATGTAGCTCTGTGTTTAGTATACAGTAGCTTTCATTAAAAGACCTATCTGGAACAGGAAATCCAAATAGAAAATTAAGAAAACAATGCCTTTTACAATAACATCAAAAAGAATAAAATAGGACTGGGGGTGTAGCTCAGTGGTAGAATGCTTGCTTGCCTAGCATGTGGGAGGCCCTGGGTTTGATCCCCAGCACTACAAAAAATAAAAATATAAAATAAAATACTTAGGAATAAGACAACTCATAAAATGAAAGTAAATATTTGAAAATTATATATCTGATAAGACTAATTTGCATGATACATAAAGATCCCTATAACTCAACAACAAAATTGCAAATAACCTAACTCAAAAATGGGCACAGGCAGACATGGTGGCACATGACTGTAATTCCAATGACATGAGAGGCTAAGGCAGGAGGATTGCAAATTCAAGGCCAGCCTCAGCAACTTAGCAAGGCCCTAAGCAGCTTAGCAAGATCCTGTATCAAAATAAAAAATAAAAATAAAAATTTTAAAAAGAGCTGGAGATGTGGATCAGTGGTAGAGTTCCCCTGGGTTCAATCTCTAGTAAAACACCCCCTATACATACACACACACTACACATAAAGGGCACAGGATATAGATACTTCTCCAAAGGAACAGAAATAGATAATAGATATTTCTTCAAAGAAGATAAACAAATGATAAACAAACACATAAAACATGTTAAATATAATTAGTTATTTGGGAAATGCAAATTAAAACCACAATGATACACTATTTCCAGTATACTAGAATGGATATTATCAAAAAGATGATAAGTGGGTTGGGGGTGTGGGTCAGTAGTAGAACACTTGCCTAGCAGACTGGAGGTCCTGGGTTCAATCCCCAGCGGAAACAAACAAACAAACAAACAAAAGGGGGTAGGGGAGAAAGGAAGGAAAAGTGTTGGTAAAGATGGAGAAATTGGAATTCTTGTACATTACTGAAAGGAATGTAAAATTGTACTGCCATTTTGGAAAACACTTTGGTAGTTTCTCAAAAAACTAAACTTAGAATTAAACTATGATCCAGTAATTTTACTCCTAGGAATCTACCGAAAGGATTTGAAAACAGAGACTCAGATATACACTCGTATACAAATGTCCATAGCAACATAACTCACAATAGCCAAAGGGTGAAAATAATAGAAGTGCTCATCAACACTTAGATTACAGTCTATGTACATTTTTAGTGTAATAAAAAAATTAAGAAAAAATAAATAAATTAGGCAGGTCCTTCTTAAAAACAAAACAAATTTTACCATCTAGTAAGGCTAGTAAAGGGATTTGGATGTTTAAAAAAAAATTTACCTATTTGATGATAGAATAGTGTATTGCCACCAGTAGATCAAAGACACATCTGTACTCATATTTCTTTTTTTTTGTTTTGTTTTTTGTTTGTTTAGTCAAAAGTCCCTTACTGGTCCTGCTTCCATGAATGGTCAAAACCAAGAGAAGGGACTGGGATTGTGGCTCAATGGCAGGGTGCTCACCTAGCACATGTGAAGCACTGGGTTCAAACCTCAGTACCACATAAAAATGAAATAAAGATATTATGTCTACCTACAACTAAAAAATAATAAATATTAAAAATAATAAACAAAAGAAAAGGGAGGGGAACCAGCTGGCACAGGGAGAGATCATCTCCACAATATTCCATTTATACACAGAACTAAACAGACAAGCACAGAGTCACTATTAGGGTTAGAAGTTGGCAGCATGGGATGGGGAAGAACAGGTGAGAAATAGGGGTGTCATTAAAAATATACAGCCCCCCCCCCAACTGGGTGCCTGGGAGAAGACTTGGTTTATTTCAACCCAAGAGGAATAGAATATCAAAATCAGTTAGGGAAGGCAGAATCTCAGAGATGAAGGGAGAAGGAAGGCCCAGGGGGTAAGGGGGCTGTTTGGCAACTGGGGTGAAGGAAATGCCTTTCCCTGCTGGGATTCCCCCAGGCCCTCCCAGCTGGCAGGAAGTGGGCAGCTGCAACCCCCTAGGGCAGGTCTGGGACTGCCAGATGCTCAAGGTAGGAGGCTGGAGGGGGCTCACAAAGGCTTGCCCTCCAGAGAGATGATGGCCCTGCCCCCCAGTTTTTCAGCCAGGGTGCAGCAATCCTTGACCACCTTGTAATAGTTTTGCTTGTAACTCGTTCTTGATCCCTGTCAGCTTCTTCTTGTTGAAGCCCTTGGAAATGACAGATAATTTTGCTCTTAAGGAATGCAGATCCAGGGGCCCAGAAGATAAACACCAGGTCTTCCTTCTTGCTCTCCTTGGTCTCGTAGGCTGTGTCTCATATTTCTTGCAGCACTCTTCCCAATAGCCAAGATATGGAACCAACCTAGGTGCCCACTGACACATGGATAATGAAAACATGATTATTTACATGATGGAATATTATTCAGCCATAAAAACATAAAATTCAGTCATTTGGAACAACATGAATGGAACTGGAGGACATTAAGACAAAAACCAAATGCTGCATGTTCCTACATATTTGTGGAAGCTACAAAATTAATGTCATAGAAGTAAAGAATAGAATAGTGGTTATTAGCCAGGAGCAGTGGTATACACCTGTAATACCAGCTACCTGTGGGGGCTGAGACAGGAGGATGGCAAGTATGAAGTCAGCCTCACAACTTCGTGAATCCCTGTCTCAAAAAAAAAAAAAAAAAGAGAGAGAGAGAGAGAGAGAAAGAATAGAGGTTCATAGAGTCTGAGAAGAGTGTAGGGGAGGGGAAGGAGGGATAAAAGAGGATGGTTTGTGGATACAGGGATACAGTGGATAGGAAGAATAACTTTGATGCTCTATAGCACAGCAGGGTAATTATGATTAATAACAATTAGTTGTATGTTTCAAAATAGCTAGTAAAGAGGATTTTGAATGTTTCAAACACAAAGAAATGAGATATATTTATATCTATATATATAGATATATCTATCTATCTATCTATCTATCTATCTATCTATCTATATATATATCTGAGGTGACGTGCAAATTACCTTGATCATTACACATTGTATACATATATTGAAATGTTACACCATACCCCTTAAATTTGTACAATTACTATGTGTCAATTAAGAATAAAAATATATTTTAAAAAAGAATTGTGGATGTAGCTCAGTTGGTAGAGTGCTTGCCTAGCAAACAAAAGGCCCTGGGTTCAATCCCCAGCACCACAAATAAATAAATAAAAAAGAATTAAAATAGTGGTTGCCTTTAGACCTGAGAGGTAGGAACTGAGTGGGAAAGGGAGTTAAGGAAGTTTCTGGGTGCAGAAAGTGACTAAGGTGTTAACATTACATTTTTTCAGAACTCTTTATACTGAACTTCTGTGAATTTCACTCTATATTAAAGTTTTACCTCAGTAAAAAACAAAACATGATTAGTTACTACTAATCCTTTCATTTACTGTTCTTGACGTGTTTGAATAAAGTACCATTTAAAGGCCATTAAAAGAGTTGGCTGTGATGATGCAGGCCTGTAATCCCAGCCATCTGGGAGGCTGAGGCAGGTGGATCACAAGTTGGAGGCCAACTGCAGCAATTTAGCATGGCCCTCAGCAACTTAGTAAGACCTGGTTTCAAAATAAAAAGAGTTGGGGAGGTAGCTCAATGGTAAAGCACTCCTGTGTTCAAACTCCAGTACTGGAAAAAAATAAATTAATTAAATGTTATTCTAATTTAAGCCTTAGCTAATTTAGATATTTTTCTCCCTCTTCTCACTTCTCTGGGGTCTTCAGTCATTAAACTTAAAATTTAATTTAAATTGTTAAATTTAACAATTTTTATTTTTATGTATTTTTTAAATTTTATGTCAGTTTTCTTAATTTATGGGTTTTTGTTTTGGTACTGGGATTGAACTCAGGGGCACTGGACCACTGAGCCACATCCCCAGCCCTATTTTGTAGTTTATTTAGAGACAGGGTCTCACTGAGTTGCTTAGTGCCTCGATTTTGCTGAGTCTGGCTTTGAATTCGCCATTCTCCTGCTTCAGCCTCCCCTGCTGCTGGGATTATAGGCCTGCACCACTGTGCCTCGCTTAATTTATGGGTCTATGTTTGTAAATTTTTTTCTTCTTTTTGGTAGTATGAATTGAACCCATGGATGCTTTACTCCTGAGCCATATCTCCAGACAATTTTATTCTTTTGAGACAGGGTCTCCCTAAATTTCTGTGTCTTGCTAAATTGCCTGGGCTGGCCTTGACTATGTGATCCTCCTGCCTCAGCCTCCTGAGTCATTGGGATTACAGACATGTGCAAACATGCCCAGTTGTTTGTCTATTCCGAACATATCTCTTCTATTCCAGGTTTAGAAACATGATCTCATATTTGTTCCATTATTTTTATAGTTTTTTTTTTTTTTTTTGTGTGTGTGTGTGTGTGTGACAGGGGGGGGGAGAGAGGGAGGGGAATTTAACTATTGATTAGCTGGAGATGGTGGGCAACTTTCTTAGTATTGCCAACTCTTAGTTTTCTTATCCATTAAGTAGGGATAATATTTTGTTCTTCATATGTTTGAATAGGCCATTAAATGTTTGACCTATTTATTTATTTATTTATTTTTTATTAGTTGCTCGAGACAATACAATGATCTTTGTTTGACCTATTTAGAGGGTAACAATTGCTTTATTATTATAAATATTTTTTGCAGTACTTGAACTTTGGGGTGAACTACATCCCCGGTTCTGTTTAATTTTATTTCAATTCTGGGTCACATTAAATTGCCCATGCTGGCCTCAAACTTGTGATCCCCTCCTTCCTCAGCCTCCTGAATCACTAGGATTACAGGTGTGGGCCACTGTGCCTGGCTTCCAGTGCTGGAGATTAAGCCCAGGGCCTCTTGTATGCTAGGCAAGTGCTCTAGCACTGATGTCCACCCCCACTCTATTATGTTATTAATTGTGTGTTATGGCATTTGACATTTTACCCTAATCCTTTGTGTATCTGGCTCTTTCATTAAGCCTGTCTTCAGTGATAGGAAATATGGTTTCCTCCAGTGCCTATCCAGGTGCTTGGCATTTAGCAAGTGTTTAAATGTTTGTTTAATAAATGGATCTGTTGGTTGAATGGATTAACAACATAGAATAAAAACCAAGTACAAGCTGGGCACTGTGGTACATGCCTGTAATCCCAGCGGTTTGTGAGGCTGAGGCAGGACGATTGAGAATTCAAAGCCAACCCCAACAATGGCGAGGTGCTAAGCAAATCAGTGAGACCTGTCTCTAAATAAAATACAAAATAGGGCTGGGGATGTGGCTCAGAGGTTGAGTACTCCTGAGTTCAATCCCTGGTAACAACGACAACAACAACAAAAGTATAAAAGGGGAAATGAATAAATATGAAGCAGTTTTTATATGAAATTAAACACAAAACTAAAGTAAAACTAGGGCAGAGAAAAAACTTAGATATAACTATTTAATACCTATATGGGTTCTTGTTCAAGTATGGGCTCCAAAAGGACTGAGGTTCTACTGACTGAAATAGTAGAAGTTTAAGTGAGCAGGCATTTTTCTTCAGAGAGTCTATAGTCAGATTATAGTTCCAGGAGGCCAGGGATCAGAAATACTTTGCCCACCAATGTATTCCTAGCTTGCAGCATAGAACCTGGTGGCCAAGAGATGTTTATGACTGGATGAAATGCTTTCATCAGATCTTCAAGTTTTTTTTGTTTTTTTTTGGGGGGGGGCGGTGGGTGGGGGCAGGGGGCAGGTACTAGGGATTGAACTCAAAGGCAGGCAGCCACTGAGCCACATCCCAAGCCCTATTTTGTATTCTATTTAGAGACAGGGTCTCAATGAGTTGCTTAGTGCTTCACCATTGCTGAGGCTGGCTTTGAACTTGTGATCTTCCTGCTTCAGTTTACAGAGCCGCTGGGATTACAGGTGTGTGCCATCACGCCCAGTTCCTCACACATGCTAAACAAGTGCCCTTCCACTGAGCCACAATCCCAGCCCCTCAAAGGGTTTTTTTTTTTTTTTAAACCCTTCAAATAACCTAGAAGGAAAAAATAAACCAAAAAAAACCAGATCTCTGGGAAAAGCTTTATGCAGGCCAGAACTCTGGGAGGAATTTATCAACATGGAATGATCAAGAAACCCTCCCTCCATCTCCTTTAAGGGACTAAGTGATTCTCAACTGGCTTTTTGATTCTCACAGATTAGGCTGTGCCAAGCTTGATTCATAAACCGACTTCTGTCACCTACCATCTGTGTGACCTTCATTAAATTATTTAGGCTAGAGAGCAGGTTTCCATAGTAACGTTCACCTTGAAGGCCTATAGGGTGGATTTCTTCAAAAGGGATGATATAGCATTGGAGTGTTAAGGTGTACAACTAACGTTATGTCTTCTGTTCCCCCTGCCGCATGTGCTTTTTTCCCTTTGTAAAATATCTGTTCACAGGGAGGGCCATGGGGCACACCTGTAATTCCAGTGACTCCAGAGGCTGAGGCAGGAGTTAACATGTTGGAGGTCAGCCTGAGCAACTTAGCAAGAACCTAAGCCACTTAATGAGATTCTGTTTCATAATAAACATAAAAGGTGGGCTCTCCTATAGTCCCAGTGGCTCGGGAGTCTGAGGCAGAAGAATCCCAGGTTCAAAGCCAGCCTCAGCAACAGTGAGGTGCTAAGCAACTTGGTGAGACCCTGTCTCTAAATAAAATACAAAATAGGGCTGGGGATGTGGTTCAGTAATTGAATGCCCCTGAGTTCAATCCCTAGTACCTTAAATAAATAAATAAGGCTGAGAATGTAACTCAGTGGTAAACTGCCCCTGGGTTCAAACTCCAATAACAAAACAAACAAAACAGCCATTTGTTCATGGCAGTATATGAGAATTCTCTGGACTCAAGTCCATTCCTTGTTCTAATCAGTTTGCCTCTACTAGTCCACAGAATTACTTAGTTTAGCCACATAAAAATATCAATTATGATCATTTACAAGAACTCTGTCCAAGTATGCATAATGACTTCACAATACAAGAATAATGAGGGAAATTCACATTTGTTGCTCTCCTGTGGTGTATCAGTACTATGCTGGGCACTTTGATGCCTATCTTACCCTGAAATTAGACTTCTCAGTATATAAAAGAATTGACAAAGATCTAGCCAGATGGGTATTAATTTTGTAACTGGATCATAGCACGCATTTAAAAAAAACTGTTAACTGAATAAACTGTTTGGGGTTTTAAACTAAATTTCAAAAATGGTTAAGCATGGGCAGATGTGCTCCTAGCTTTGTAATGGGACTAGAATTTGGTGAGTTCTCTGGGGAACCTCCCTGTACATCTCCAGCAGGTTTTTCTATTTTTTATTTTGAGACAGGGTCTGGCTAAGTTACATAGGGACTCACTAACTTGCTGAGGCTGGCTTTGAACTTGAGATCCTCCTGCCTCAGCCTCCAGAACCACTGGGATTAGACCAAATGGTCTGTGGACCTCACCCAGTGAACCAGAATCTTGTGGGAAAGAAATTGGTATTAGGAAACTTGGGCTGAAGTTCTGGTTGAGGCTTAACTGGGTTGAGTGACTTGGGGTAAGTCTCTATCCTCTCTGGGCCTTAGCTTAGCATATGAAAAACAATGGAGGGGGTTATTATTGAGCTTGTTCAGTTATTGAATATTTCCCAAACTTATATTCTAAGGTTCCCTATCAGTCATGTTTATTTTTCCTTTGAGATAAAAATACTTCCTGTGCTTGGAGCTTCAATGAAATCAATCAATGACATTTATAAAGCACCTATTATATACATTCTAGGAGACTCCAGCCTCAGCAACAATTTGAGACTGTCTAAAAATTAAAATGAATGAATGAATGAATGGAGCTGGAGATGTAGTTCTGTATGGGACTGCCCCTGGATTCAATCCTCAGTACCACAAAAAAAAAAAAAAAAAAAAAAGACTTTTTGCCGCTCAATGATTATGGTACCCTTGGCAAAAATCATTTGACCATCTATGCAAAGGTTTTTGCGCCATAAAACTTTTGCAATTGGTGGTACAGAAACCATGTGGTATCTGCCTTAAGAAAGCTATGGTTAAGATCGGTTAAATGCTCAGTATTTGTCCACTGGCTGTGTGCTCAGTGGGCACGGGGCACATGTTTTTCCACGCTTTGCCTCCATGGAACCAGTGTGACAAGCTGTCCATTCCCAAAGGGGCATGGATAGAGTCAGGACTTGAACCCAGAGTTCCTGGCTCCATGTGTCATGCTATTTCAGGTCAGAGAGTCTCATCTCTAACATGTGCTCAGAAGTGAAATGAGAAGGTCGCTACCGTGCAGCCTGGCGGCTCCAGGCTCCTAGGCACTTAGGAGTCACTAAAAGCCAGCGGCTATACTTCAGGTGCAGACTTTAAGAATTCCGAAGGTGCCAGAGCAGCGGATCTCTAACTCTCCCAGTCCGGAAGGACCGAGTCCTGAAGCGGGAGCCCCACCCCACCGGGCGGTCGGACCCTAAGTCCTTCCCCGGAACCTGGGCGCGGCTGGCCGGCGCTATTGGCGCGGGTGGAGGACGAACAACAGAAAAATGCCTGCGACGAGATTTGCGCGGAAACTCTCCAGGGTCTTTCGGGACAGGGGCCTGGGCGTTCTAA